GAGAGAGAGAGAGAGAGACGGGCACCCTGCTTGAGGTGAGAGAAGGGGGGTGACGGAGGGAGTGAAAAAGAGTTCGTCTCGGCGGTCTTGTACACCTTGTCACTGTACGGCAATGTTTTCTAGCAGAAGGGTCTGATTTTTTTTTGTATGTTTTTACATTTTCTGTTAAACTCTCCCCTCAGTTCTCAGGGCTTCAAGCTGAGCTGCCCCCTGCTGTCCACCTGCTGACAGTGTCCCAGTGGGACAGCGACTCGGTACTGGTCAGGCTGGAGCACCAGTTTGAGAAGGGAGACAGCCAGACCCACTCCCAGCCCGTCACTGTGGACCTGCAGGTAAGTGCCCCGCCGCTGTGCGGGTGGAGTTTGTGAGCACGCAGGCTGTTGCTCAGAGCTGTGGTCTTGTAGCGGAGAGCAGGCTGGAGGGAAAGTCCTCCTGTCCTGATCCCTTCTGGATCGAGGCAGGACTTGGGGAAGCAGCAGGGTCATCGCCCACAGGAGGGAGGGAATGGGATTCTGAACCAGGACGGTCATGGCTAATCATATCCCTGACTCCCTCGCTCTCTTCCCCCAGAAACTCTTCTCCACGCTGGAGGTGGTGGGCGTGTCCGAGATGAGCCTGGCAGCCAATCAGTGGAAAGAGGATATGAGGCGTCTGGACTGGCGGGGTGATGCAGGTGGGCCAATCTCCTGTTCTGTACTGCACAACGCAGCCCAGCAGCAGCTACGCATTTGAAGTATGTGATTGGCCTTTGCAAGTCATGTGCTTAGTACTGAAGCTGTGATTGGCTGGCTCTTTCAGAGTGGGAGCCCCTGCATGGCAGGCCTGGAGACCCCTCAGCGGCAGTGGTCAGGCTTCAGCCAATGGAGATCCGGACCTTCCTGCTGAGAGTGAGACTGCGATAGCCAATTGCTGGAGATCAATAACCACTAATCAATCTGTGAAGACAAATCCCTCCTTGTTCACTCCAGTTCTGTCTCTCCTTAGCTGAGAGCTCCTGCACTGTGTACGAGGGGTGATTTTTATTGTCTGTCTCTTAGACCAATGTGCCTTTTTTATATTACAAATCCAGAGAGAAATCTCACAACTGTTGTTGTTGCTGTAAAACATGCTGGGAATAAGATTGCTCTGAGCAAACAAAATAAAAATTCTGTTTCATTTAGAGTGGGAGGAGCTGGTGTTGTACTAGCATTGATGAGGGAGGAACAGAGCCTGTGTGTGTTTCTTACCCACTGAGGTGTGTGTGTCATACCAGCGGTGTGGAGGGATGGACAAACCCAGCTCAGTGGGTTTGTCCGTCCCTCCACATGTGCACACGCACAAACGCACAGTTTGTGTTGTAGCAGCGCTGTGGACGAGAGCGCACACAGTGTATTTGTGTTGTACGAGTGCTGTGGAGGGACAGACAGATTGTTCCAGCACCGAGAGTAGAGAAAGACTGAGGGAGTGATGGGCACAGCGAACGGAGACTTGCACAAAGCACACTAGGTGCCTGGAGTACACGTGTGTAAGCTGCTCCCTGCAGCCTCTCAGAGAGGGAGAATCGGGCTCCTGAAGGAGAGCAGGGACGCGGAGAGACCGCTGGACTGTTATTCTGAGCTCAGGCAGTGTGTAGCCCTGACACCCCCGAAGGGCAGCATATGAGAGGTCATAAGGCTCCCCTGTTCGCTTGGTGGGGATGAGCTGACTGCTCAGAGGGCATATATAGATATTTGCACATTTTTACAACCAAGACGTTCAATTAAAAAGCTGTTGCCTGGCAGCAGGAATGATGAGGACACAAGCGCCGCCGCTGTAGGGCGAATATAGCGCCCAGGTGGCCATTCCCTGGTCTCGGGCCCCCAGACAGACGGACACGGACACAGAGGGAGTAGCACAGTCTTTATTGAGCTCGCTTACAGTTAAAAACTCTGAGGCCTCACTCCCACACAAAGCTGCGCCACTCAAGGTCACTGCCCCCTGCAGCCGTTAATTAGTTAATTGGGTGGTGTCAAGCAGTGGAGTGGGCCGATTGGTAACCCCTCCCTCCTGGCGCTGTCACTCGGACTTCTCCCCGGCCGCGCTCTGCCCCTGCTGGTCGACGTGGGAATAGCAGCACTGCTCCCCTTGCGTGCAGGTGCCCTGGGACAAGGCGAGAGTGAGAGAGTGTGGGAGGAATGGGAGTGGGGTCCTCACCTGGTGGAACCTCTTGCAGAGGAAGCTCTTCAGGGCTGGTGTG